TTCAACTTTATTAATTTGCTTCAAGAATTCTTCATACTTATCAATTGCACCGTCAGGTGTTTTTGTGTAGCTGTTAATATATGTAACTTCTCCCCCCTTTAGATTCGAATTCTCCTGAATTCATGTATTCAATTTGATTGTTATACGTTTATGTTTATTGATAATAACAATAACTATTATTACAATTATAATTATACTTATAATATTGCATATATTCGATATTTTACTATGAATTCTCAATTTAAAAATGCTTTCTATGTTTGATCTATGCTCCTCTATTATTTCATCAAAGGTAATTCTTTCCGTAAAATTCCGAATATCTCCATATTTTAAGCTTACAATATTTTCTTTTATATTTTCAATATAATTAGAACAAGTAAGAAAGTCTAAGTTCGGGCGGAGCCGAACATTAAATACCCGGCGCAAGTATTAAATATATGTTTTTTCACCCTTCCGAAACCTTCCGCTAGATGGTAAGCCGAGGTGTATCTATTTTGAGTAAATTAGCGTCCTTCAATTTCGAAATATTGAAGTTTCAAGCATTTCTTAAATTTACCGTTATATGAGAATCGGCCGTTATTTTAGTCCGATTTCAATAATTTTCAACGTTGTGCTTACACGTGGCAAGAATAATAACCATACCGAGTTTGGTACAAATTGGTAGAACGGTTACCGATATACTTATATATGATCATAAGTGGGCGGTGCCACGCCCATTTTCCAAAATTTTACCATAAACGTATTTCTTGGTAAAGAATTGTTGCAAGCATCAATTTTGAATAAATTAGCTTCAATATTTAATGATTTATCGAAGATTTTGTATTTCTCTAAATTACCGTTATATGGGATGTGGGCGTGGTTATTGTCCGACTTTAAAAAGTTTCGGCGGTTTTTTATGCTGTACCAAGGCCAACAACTGTGCCAAGTTTGAAAGAAATTGGTGCAGCGGTTACCAAGATATACACATGTAACCATAAGTGGGCGTGGCTACGCCCATTTTGCAAAAATTTTTAATATTCTTATTTTTCGTCTAAAAATTATTGTAAATATCAATTTTGAGTGAATTATCTTCAGTAGTTACTAAAATATCGCAGTTTTCGTATTTCTGGAAAATACCGTTATATGGGAAGTGGGCGTGGTTAAAGTCCGATTTCGCCCATTTTCAATACCAACCTACCTTGGATTAAGGGAAGCCTACATACCAAATTTCGTTGAGATATCTCAATTTTTGCTCGAGTTATCGTGTACACGGACGGACGGACAGACGGACAGACGGACAGACGGACGGACAGACAGACATGGCCTAATCGATTTCTTTTTTCATCCTGATCATTTATGTATACATTTGTCTATATCTATCTCGATTCGTTTTGGCTGTTACAAACAACCGTTATGTGAACAAAATTAATATACCCTTGTGCACAAGTGCGCTCGGGTATAAAAAACTAATTTGTTTACTGTAACGTTCACCAAAAATACCATAGTATTATTTCTTAATCCTATCAAACCTTGTCCAACCGACACGTCTAGGCTTGCACAAGCAGCCAAGCAAACAAATT